TGCAGAGCATCGAGAAAGTTTCGTTCGGACACGCACACACCGCTTGAAACGCTCCAAAACTTTCTGGCCCACACTCCAACACTTCACAACCAAAGAGGCCAAGACCACCGTTGGTAATGCGCATATGCCGGTGCCGTGGCCACAATCCCTATATGGCTATATTTATAGTGCACTTATCTATAATTATAATGACATACCATAATATACCACATGCAGCGTTGCATGAAAAAAAAATGCATCTGTGCGCTACGAATAATTTAAAGATAGTGTAATAATAGGTTTTATTTTTGTCTACTATATGTATAGTTCCCGGGGTGTGGTATACTGGTATATGCTATATTATGTTAATCGTCGCGTTGACCTAGTCGATTAACGACCGATTTTTTTGTATTTAGCTTATAATATATTGTGTACCGGTAGGTACATTCTTAAAACATTGTCTATGCGATGTGCTGTGTGTGTACCTATTGGCTACCTACTACCATTGATTATAGAATAGAATTCTGTAATCAATGCTACTACCTATGATGAATATTGTTATTCGCCGAAAATTCACAATATTATAATATTAAGTACCGAATACCTATGTAAATATTATATTATTGGTAGGTATACTCACCAACATATAAACATAATGAAACAGTTACGATACTGTTCAGGGCGACTCATTAAGAAAATTCATTGTTTCATCATAACAATCTATTAATGTTTATAAAATATATGTGTCTTTCATTAGCGCCCAGACAGGTAAACAACAAGTACCTATTGAACTGCAAGTGTTCTCGTGGGAGGTGGGCGTAAATTGCTTGGTGTCACAGAGAAGTTTATACATTCATAATAAATATATTAAACTATATTATTTATTGGTAGGTATATATAATAATTAATTTCCATGAACTACAGCTTAGGTCATAGACTATTAATCATTGATGCTGTTTATTATTTAATGATTTGTTTTTGAAATTGTTAATTTATACACACATTCGCAAATCGCAACACAAATAATCACAATGTTATAATAGTTCTATATTGACATTTTTAATGATAAAAGTTAATAACTAATCATTTTTAAATATCCATAGTCCATGCATATCTATTCTTTAGAATAGTTTAGATATTAGATAGCTACCATAGCTCAATTTTTATACATCGAGCTATTGAGCTACCGAGTACCTACCTATTCATTGTGTTTCGAAAGCAAAATATTTTTCCTTGAAATAAGAAATTAATAATCATTAAAAAAAAAAAGTAATAAACTACGATTAACCTGAACAGGCTGAACATGATGACGGTAAAATATCGTTTTAGAACGTCTTAAATGTATGCAAATAAAATATTTAATAAATAAAAACATTAATAGATTTTGAAATATTGAATGTACTTCGATAAAAGTAGTAAAAGTACCACTCGGTGTAGTTACCTACCTATTAACCTATTATACATACATTCATTTTTTTTTAAACAGAAATTTAATAAGAATATTTTATAAGTTATATATGTTATAATTTAGCAAATAATCAATATTCAATTCTAATTAAT